GTTTTACTTGGTGAAAGCGCCGAGAAGGGCATGCCATGGGCTGGCGAGAGCTGCTGATGCGGAGGCGACACCGGGGCCTGTTGCGGCTGACCGCCCATCGGACGAGGACCCATCGTGGGCAGACCATTCCAGGTAGTGTGACCCATCGGTGTGAATGTGTTCAGGAACATCTTAAAAACAGTGGTTTCAAGGAAAACAAGGTCTCGCAAAAAGCCAAACTAGCAAAAACCCACCGGCACTTCCGGTGTTCCGGGCAGCAAATTACCGGCCTGTGGAGGATACGGCTGCGGCTGGGGAATACACACATTTTTGTGCATAAACCTAAAATTCGTGAGTCAAAAATTAACAATCAGCCATTACGGATTCTCGACAGCATGGAAGACTTCGGGCTGTTTTGGGGTGCACGGCGATCCGTGCAGGATATTCTCGACAACCTGCCGGGGCAGCGAGCCACCTCCATACGATTCGCTGCGTGGCGAAGCGATGTGCTTGCTGCCGGAATTCGTTGGGATCGGGATCGGCTTCGGTTCGTCTAAAAGAATTCGGGTTTATGGCATTATAAATGTTATATCGCGAATGGTCCAAATTTCAATTGAAAGCCGCTGGTGCAGCCTGTTAATGAATAAGCAAAACAAACTATTATTTTTAAATAACAGCCCTAACACCGCTGAACCCTCCAAAACCAAATACTGAAAGATATCGATACTAACCGTGTCTCCTCGGCGGCTGCCAATTCGACGTGCTATTCCAGTGCTCGGACATCTCAGCAAACCAAGTTCTGTACAGTGAAGCAAGTGAAAATATGTGCACTGGGGGAGCACCGCTTCCGGGTTACCTGAAAAATAATAATAACCTGTAGAATTCGTCAATTATACATTGGCATAAAAACGAAACGTTCAGAGCAAATTAATAACGTAAAATTTTGGCGATTTAGCGACAAAAATATTGCGGAAACGCCAAAAATAGATTCAGCAGCGTTCCGTCCAATTTTTGCTGGCAATAATCATGACGTTACATTATGCATTTGATATAAATACTTACGGGCGGTAAAAAACTTTTTAGGATTGGCAAAATGCAGGGGGGTACAACCAACAAGATTCCTTTGGCCAGTACGGTGTGTGGTCCACGTTATACGAGAGGAAGGGGCAGGGGTGGCATCTGCGGGGTAGGAAAAGGCAAGCGTGAGGGGAAATGCTTGAAAATAAGTTAAAATGAAGTCAAAGCTATCAAATAACAACCAAGCCTAGTGAAAAGTACTATGAAAAAGAAACACAAATCAAAAAATAATTTCTGGCTCCAATACGTGAGCGTACAAATTACAAAATACGTAAGGTGAAATCTAGCGGATCGGAAACATCCGGAATTTTTCGCGACACAATTGATCATCTCGTTTTTTCCAAATTTCGAAGAAAAAAAATTTTCAATAATTGCTGCTATTTTTACAGAATTCGATGGCGGGGGCACGGCTGGCAAATCTACGCACCGCCAAATCCAAGAGCCTTCAACGCGGCTCGCCCCGAAGCTCGGCGAAGAGGAAAGGAGACAAGTAGGTTCTTGTTTGCCTTCCTAAACGACTTTTTTTCATTCTAGATGGCCTGTTGCCCCCTGGATGATCGCTCTGTTCGTGTTCATCGTCTGTGGATCGCTGCTGTTCGAGATCGTACGAGGAGTCCAGACGAAGGGTCTCGGATAATGTGCCAAACCGAATTCGACTCGCATTTTTGGTTTGATGTTCCATCTGTGCTTTGTGCTGTTCAACGGGTAGTTCTTGTTTACTGTTGTAATATGCTGCTGTTTTTTGTGTGTGGGCTTTGCTGTTTCTCGGGATAAAACATTCTGTTTCAGCTATGCGAGTTATAAGATTTTCGGATTTTTATCGAAGTATCGGCTTTTAAATTAGTGAGATCGGATTGAACAATTGTTTTCGAAATGTTCGGCCGAGGATATTTACAGACGAAATTTGCGATTAGCTGCGGGTTAGGTGGGTATTCTAGGCAAGTTTGGGCAGGAGTGTATTTCGTAAAGTTAATATAATAATTTTCGAAAATTAACTGTAGGGAAGATGAGGTCCTGTTTGCTTCTGCCGGCAGCAGCAGCACCAATTGCAGGCCAAACTGAAAAGTTATGCAGATAAGACTGCTGTGAAGTTCACTTGCCTGCAGCAGCCATAGCAAACCGCGATGATGAAGAGGAAGACTACTATGCATAGGAAGACGTAAGGTATAGGCTGCAGATGAATGCAACAATCCCCGTGACAGCAAGTGTAGTACGCGAGGTAATCCGACCTGCCTGAAAGCTGTTGTTGGTGTAAAGCGTGAATTCAGCACTTCCGGGGTAAAGACTGGTTACCAAAGCGTTTGATACATCCACTTCAGGACATACGGGTCCGCAATGTACGATGTCCGCTGACTGGGTTATTCTCATAAAACTAACACTGTTGCTGCAGATTTGGTGAACAGCCTTCCAACCGTGATTCGCGAGGCGAGAAATCGAATGCCGACGCGGATGGAACTAGAAGATTTCCTGCAAGCAACCACAATACTGGCCGGAGGCGTTGCAGACATTTCTCAAGCGACAGCGGTAGGCTTCTATGTTTCTATAATGGTCTCGTGCACAAACAGCATCACTTACCAATACGGAGATAGTAGATGCGTCCCATACTGATCGATATTCTGGCGACATACATATATATGGAGCTATACAACTTCGATGCCTTGGACAAGAAGTGAATGCATGCCTTATCAGTTGGGTGTTGTTGAATCAATCAATAGACTCCCCTTTGAGATTAGTCCGGAAGACGCTTACTCATTTTTTTTGTTAATAAAACAATCCGCCCAAAGTAGGAATAACAGTAACAGTAAGCTGAAGAGAGATGTGTGAGGTATCCTTGTCACAAATTTTGGGGAGTACGGTGTCGTTACCTTCGACTCGGGAGCCAGGGTCTCAGTCTTATTCGCATTGTTAGATATCTATCATTAGCCACGCCCCAATTATGAAATCGTTACAGACGGGCAAAGATAAGAGGCATGATAAGCCAGAATCATTGTGGCTTTCGGCATTCTAATTTCCAGGGCCGACCCCGCGCCAGCCTTTGTTCTGCGCCTGCAAATCCCGGCCAGATCGCCGATCCTCCACTGACTTGGTTAAGTTTTTGTAATTTTCGACTCCTAGGTCTGCTGCGGCTGTTAAAAGGGTCCCAGGATTTTTTAACGTAAGAAAATGGCAGTGACTCCTTCAATCCCTATCTGCTTCGCCCCGGTTAAATTGGGCATAAAATGCATTGACATAGCGCAGCTATTTTTGGCAGGCTATGCCCATGGTTTTGCACAAAACAGTGAAAAATCGGCCTTACGATCGCCATAATACCCAGAAAGCCTTGTTCAAGACGCCCTACAAGGGTTTTCGGAGAGCCGAATATGTGCAAATTCACTTTCGGTAGTTATAACAATTTTTGGCAGCTAGCACATTGCTACACGTGGCTCCGATGCGTAGTGATTCGATTTCCGCCTGCCTGGTAGCGTGGACTGAAAATTTCTTTTCTTTTGCGGACAGTAAGAAGTCGTGTGTTTTGTTTACGGATGTAGCGTAACGTAGGTAGACGTAACACACCCCAAAAAATGCAACTTAATTTTATACACAGACCGGTTCCCGATGGTGCGACTGTCGAATAGCTAACCGGCAGCCTGGTGCGAAATTCTCGATGGGCTAGCTAGGCGAAAGCGCAGCGTTTTTGTATCAAATGCTCACATGCCAAAATTTTGTGTTAGATGGCAATTATTTACACCGTGTTGAAATATAGATTATTTACATAAATATATTGGCGCCCCAAAACAACAAACAACAATTAACAATTTTCTGGCGCTGACCGCCACTCGGTCGCTAGAAGTGGCCTTTTGCTATTGGCGCTTCCATTTGAGTCAACGCTGGAATAGGGCAACAAATTCGGATTCAATTCTTGGTATAGCTTGCCGTTAGGCTTCTTAGAGCAAGCCCTGCAACACTTGCGGATGCAGCAATATAAGAGGCCCCCAGTGCAAGCCACGAATCCCATAACAAAGACAATCATAATCACAATCCAGACAATCGGTTGGAAATGGCTGCAGCAGGATCCGTTGCAGCAGCTGTAGTAGATGAACGGGGAGGCGGCGCCTGAAACGATTTTAATAATTTTTCGACCATTAAAATTGTTTTCAACCGCATAGACAGTAATATAATCTAATTATTGCATCGTCTGCAAACTGGGCGGACTTATCAGCTGTTTTCCCCACTACCTTTCACTTTCAGCCCTGTTTCTGCCACGTACCGTCAACATATATTGCCTTGCAATGCAAATATTGGTACTGACAAACAGAACGCTCGGACCAAAAATGGTGCTAATGCACTTGGGGGGGGGGGCAGTCCGGATTTTGACTACAAGACGCTCCAAATGCCGTTTTTCAACTCGAAGCCTCTGGAAAAGCTACGCTAAGCCGAAGCTAATTGTTTAATATTGGAAAACTGGGAGTGGAGCCAAGCTAAGCTTATTGTTAGCTCTAAGTAAGTCATAAATGACCCCATTTTGACCTCGTAAGGCAATTTAAAGCTTAAGCCTAAGGCTAAGTCTAAGCATAGTTAAAGCGAAGTTAAGCACTGGCCTAAGCTGAAAACCAAGTAGCTAAGCGGAGCGCCTCGTCGCCCCTTACTACCAATCTCGGGCTTCCCCCCCCAAGCAACATTAAAACCCAAAAAAAATAGCCAAATTTTAGGGCAGAATGAAGTTTTTTTGGGTGCCTGGACCATGACACTTGATGCAAGCCCAAGGCTTTACAAGGATTATGTTTTATAGAGTCACCGAGTCACCGCTAGTGTGACTCGTAATCCCAGACGAAACGGCACTTTACGGTTGACCTGAGACATACTGATATGAATTTCCCTTTGTAAAAAATGGCAAAAATCGTGATGAAAGTTTAGTTTGGTTTTTAAAGCTGACGAAAATGTTTGATGAAATACCATGCCGATTATGAGCCCATGTCAATCTGGGCAGCCTTTGCTAAATTGTGTCGTAAGAAAACACAACTAACATTTCTCGGGCTCGTTGCACCCAGCCAGACTAGAATTCCGTTGTCCAAGGTTCCAGTTCAGGCTGGCTGATGCACCATTCGCGAGACAGATTACGAGGAACCAGGGCGAAGCACAGAATTTCTTGCAGGAAAACACAATTGACTCCGCGATCCGCCCTGCTGCACCTAGCTTCCATGCCTAAATATGAATCGTCATAAGCACCCTAGCAAAACTGACGTTGTTTACTTCAGACATTAGCAACTGGATTTATGGGCCCGTGGCAGTAGAGAATCTGTTGTGAAACGAAGTAAAGTGAGCCGCAACCCACCCGCCGTTTATTTATGAACCAGCGCCGGTGATATAAAAAACAGATAAGGCTACGGCGTCCTAAACCGAAGAAAAAAGGTGCCCTCCACACGGGAAAACAGAAAAGAGAACGGTCGCTGCCGATAGAACGGAGTGGGGGGGTTCGGCCTGGTCCAAGTATTTTGAAAAAGTTAGAGCTAATTCTTTTCACGAAAAATTTGGAAAAAGGACTTTTCGTCTCCCTCGAATCTATTACGTGCACACACTTTTCAATCATTTTTGCCCAAGAAAAGATTGTAACGGCTCCCCAGACAAAATCATCGGAATTTACGCATCATTTACAATACTGTAGCTCACCGCAGCGCCGCATGGTATTCTGGACACAGTATCAGCAATTTTCCTACGAGCTGCTCGGTACCGATGGTCACAGCTCCTTCAAAATCTGCTTCCATCGGAAAATTGGGCAAAATTCGTGAAATTTGAGGGGCCTGAAGATGGAGAACGGAAGAAAGGAGGCCCCCGGAAAAGGCGGATTATCCGCGAGGGCCCTAATCCGGCAAGTGCCCTCTAGCCATCCATACATCCTCACAAACGAACTACGCCCCGATTTTTTTGCTTAACTACGTGGTTTTGGGTGTTTAGGGACTGGGAAGTATTGCCTTCCTAAGCTTCTGCTATTTTGCTTTTTGCTCTTCTTGAAAATGCGCGCAACCTTGTGCAAGTCAATTCGCGGAATTGTGGTAGCATTTTTGATAAGGCCGTCAGATTCCTTGCCGTGGTACGTGCCGGAAGACAGTTTTTTTTTGATGCATTCCTTTCTCAGTAACTTGCGGTTGCCGCCCCTTTAAACTGTCGGCATTTTGTTACTCACTGATGCCTCAGTCCACTTACCTACTGCTTAGTGAGGGAAGTCATAAAACTCATTGTTTATCGGGTGACACATTTGTTGTCGATAAGGTGCCAGCTCACAAAACTGGGACAGGCCCGGAAGTTTAGCCGTTACGGGGTGATTCTCCTGACCCAAATTTGCTTAAGGAGGGGGCGAATTTTCGCTAGTACAAGGGTGTGGAAGACCGTTAGTGTAACTCTTATGTTCCGTTCGACACCTTATCTCATTGCATGCATAGCGTACCGTAGGCTCAGCACCGGGAAAACGAATGTCTGCAGATTTAGCACAAAAAAAAAAGCGAATTTGTGAGACTACAAGACACCGAAAAAATCAATCTGCTTACAGAATACCATAAATTGCCTTGCCCTGGGGGTATACTTTAATATTGGCGGCCAGCAAATTCGTACCTCTCCACTGAAACGTTTATTTTCGGACAATTCCTCTACCTCCAGCCGGCCGTGGCAAGGCCTGGATGCTAAGCGACCGATTTCATGGGCCGGTGCGGCGACGTCCGATGCGAATTTCGGGATTTCCATTTTCCAGGGAAGTCGTACTAAATTTTAACATAGCCTTGATAGTCGTTGTTCATTTTTGTTATAGTTATTTTCTTAGTTTTTAAAATTTGCTAGATTTCAAAAATCGCAAAATTTAATTAAATTTGATGGAAAACCTTGGCGAGGGCCGAGAAATCCCTTGGAAGCCTGCTAGAGTCGGATGTGTGGCCCATTGCCCTAATCCGTTAATTGTGAGGATTCCATCATCTCCCTTTCTCTCTCTCTCTCTCTCTCTCTCTCTCTACCTGGCGATGTCCCACCTTAGGGCCCATCTCCACATCCACTCTGTGTTGAGCCGAGGCCCCAAGGAATCCCTATGGGACTTGGCCGACCACCACCGGCTTTCAGCGACAATCCAATTTTGGACAACCTACACCTACACAAACTCACCGCCCGGCTCGATTTGGAGTGTTTTTGCAGGAGAATTTTTTTGGAGTTTTGGAGAGGCTGAAACCCACTGTTGCACCCCTTTAATCGTACTTATTTAATGAGTCAGCGCCCAAAAATGGTCAATAGATAGGAATTCTAAGACCTTTTAGTAGGTGTCCTTATTTGCCACGATGACTAACGGCGCGCGATACAAAGCGAAAGAGAGCCATAGCGAGAGAGAGAGAGAGAGAGAGAGCGAGAGAGCGAGAGAGCGAGGGAGAGAGTGTGAGAATGAGAACCCTAACCGTCCCACCTACAAATCGCTGGTGATTTTGTAGGGTGAGAAGAATGGCAGCCGTCGGGCGGGGGTGTCGATGATGGGCGGATGTCTGTGGTCTGAGTGTTTGTCTCATTCTCTCTCTCACTCTCTCTCTCTCTCTCTCTCTCTTCGCCAAGAGGCCCACGCACTCTTGGGCCCCCCGGATTCGCGCACAGTCCCCCAAATACCCCGATCCATCGATTTCCCGGAGGGGGCCCGGATCTGATCTGCCAAAACTACCATAAAAATAAGCGTTTCTTCTTTCTAGTGGAATTTTTAGAATTTGGCAACAATGGCTATATATCAATTTTAACCCTTTTGTATGTTTTTTCGAGCGCTGAGAAAAACTCTTTTGTGCTCGGAAGCGTTCCAAAAACGATTGTGCCCCCATCAAACCCCTTCCAGTCTGCCCTTGCGGCCCTTCCGGTCTGCTCCCATTCATTTACGGAATTCCCTCCCATCAAAAAGAAGCCCAAGAAGCATTGGCTGGTTAAAAACGAGGCCGAAGCAGTGGCTTTTGTTTATCCACCATCCAGACCAAGAGAGCGATTCTTGCCCCCAGGGCCACTTCGTTGATTCGATGCCTCTCCCCAGCTCCAAGTAATGACCCTCAACTTTCTTGGGGAGTCCAACTTTCCTTTCCAATTTTTGACTCGGCAATTTGAGTCTCTATTTGAATCCGTCTTTCTTCGGGTCCTTGCTATATAACGAATTGTATGGCGCAAAAGAATGGAGCAGGGGACAGTGTTCGTAACGTCGCGGCCCGTTTTATCTCCTAGTCTTTCTCGCCCGTTATCACGATGTCCTCCATTTCTCTCACCCTTTCTTTCTTTCTTTTCTCTCTCTCTCTCTCCCTCCCTTTCTTTCTACTTTTTGAATCCTGGGGCCACAAGAACCCCCAAGAATCAGAAAACCTAAGAGCACCAAAATATGGCTATTAAAGGCAGCTATTAAAAAAAAAAAAAAAAAATAGAGAAGAAGAGTGGCCGTTCAATATCTGGGATTTCCCTTCGCTTTACCGAATAGTCCTAGAAGCTTGCGAATAACGAGCCGCGGAGTGCCTTTGCATCGACAGACGAGCATCTCAATCTGGATCCAGATTTCAAAGTTCTATTGCACCTCGATCGCTCTTATCATTTTTGTTAGTTGCCCCGACGATTCTTGCCAAAACATATTAAACCAGTATGAAACCCATGACGTTTCGTTCCTTGATCACCGGGACTTTTCTGTCCTCACACAAAAGCTTGCAGAAGTACGTTCCGGGCTTAACGGCTTCGGTTCCAGCCCCTATCGGTCTTTTTTTGCCCCAGTTTTACTGTTCCATGTGACAGCACTGGAGTTGATCCGTTCTGATAACAACGCACGCGCAACGTTACGAAAAGCAAAAACAATTCGGTAACTAAAAATCCTTCAAGCGGCTGGTATATGATTATTCAAAGATGACCGCGTAGAGCGAGAGAGAGAGAGAGAGAGAGAGAGAGAGAGAGAGAGAGAGAGAAACAGCGAGCGAGAAAAATGGCCAAAGTTCAATGTCCGGATTCCGGAAAAATAGCCTGAATTATCAGTTAACACAAAGTCTTATTAAAGCCATTTCATCTATAAATTTGCCGTTTTTCATAATCTGCTCTTTTTTCTATAAATTAACCTAATTTTACGTCTGTTTTCGGCTTTTATTGCTAACTGTTTGAAGTGTTTTACCTTTAATTTTTTATCGCCAGAAATTGGCGACGACATCCCAAAAAATTAGTACGGAAAAATTGGGATAGTCCAGCCAGATAAGAGCCAAATTAAGAATTTATGTCGACACGCATTTTTCATAGGCATTTAGGGCTGTGTCCACAGGAGTGTAACGTATTCCATCCATAAGTGTATGGGAGGGGGGATGGTTGATAAATGGTGTCGTGTCGGATGATGGCCAGGGCAGAGAAGTGTGTCTGCCAAGCAGTCTAGTGCCTTAAAGGGACAGACAAGGCGTGGATTTAGATTTTATCAATCTTCGATTTTTTATAGACTTTGCTGATGAGCCGCGACACGCAACGCGAACGCTCTTGTACGTCTTGGAAGAGCAGTAATGCCGTACGCAACAAAATTTCTTTATTTTTACAAATTTGGAATTTTAACTTGACTTGACTCGACCTTGACTTCCCAATCCTTTTAAAAAGTTTTAAAATGTTATTAGGCATTTGGATATTGCTGTTATGGAACTAGATCTATAGCGTAAATTGCTGTATATAATTAAGATAACGTTTCCCCGAATTTTCCGCCTAAGTGTTTTCATTCTCGCCCGCGGCCTTAATGACAATAGACGCCCAAAAAGGAAGAGTGGCCCGGCCAAAGCACCACCCAAGAAAAAAAGGGCCCAACCGGAAATTGGGTCCCCAACGAGACGCCCTTGGGGCCCAGCAAGGGCCCAAAGGAGGCCAAAATGTCTGGCAGAAGAAGCGGGAGGTGAGGGTGGGCTCTTTTTGGAGCGGAGAAGACTTGGACGGGACATAAATACACGTTATGTGTTAGAGCCAGGGTTGGTCACGAAAAGAGCGGGAGCTGGGAGCGGGAGCTGATTTGCGAGCCCCGCTCAAGAGCGGGAGCGGGAGCTGAATATCCTCAGCTCCCGCTCAGCTCCGGACCTTGAGCCGGCTCTTTTGAGAAAGAGCGAGAGCCGAACCCCGCTCAACACAAACCGGATTCTGCAAATCAGATATCTATGCAAATAAGGCAATGCAAGGCCAAAAATATTCAGTTTTATTGGAATTTTGGGAGATTTGCATAAATAACTAATTTGCAGCATCCGGTGGGGTAGAGCAGGGACCGGCTCCCGCTCTTTTCCAAAAGAGCCGGCTCAAGAGCTGGAGCTGAGCGGGAGCTGAGAATTTTCAGCTCCCGCTCGGCTCCTGCTCCCGCTCAGCTCCGGCTCAGAGCCGGCTCTCAGAATGACCAACCCTGGTTAGAGCTGTTTTTATTATTTTTGTTTTAGTTTTGGCGCCACTGCTGATTCCCAAAGAAACGTCGCTAGCTTGCCCATTCAAAGTGATGTATTCTCCAAGAATTTCTTCTATTTGACAAAAATCCTCAACAATCTCTACTAGGTTACCGGTTTCCTAAAGGAGCTCTGCTAGTTGCCCTAGCGTCTATATTCCACCAAGAACCTCTGCTGTTTTCTAAGGGACCGAAATTCCGCAATGAATCTTTGCTAGCTCACCTGCGCCCACCCATCAGGCCAGTTTCACAAAGAATATCTGCTAGTTTGCCTGCGTGATTTGAATTTTCGCCTCGTTCCACAAATGTCACTGCTAGCTAGCCCTCGCTCGATTCCACAAAGAATCGCTGCTATACTGCCTTAAGCTAGCATGAATCTTTGCAGACCATTCCCAAAGAATCTCTGCTAGCCCCCACGAATTTTCACAATTTTCAAAAGAGTAACTTTTCAAAAAATTCAAAGCAATGATGCCATCCGTTTTCTCGGAGCCAGTAATCCCGGAAAACATCCACCAAAGCTGAATCATAGACTCCTTCTCGACCCAACCGGGCCGGGGGTGGAGAAGAATACCTTCGGTCAACCGGAAACAGGAACGGCCCGGAATTCCCCCCGCCTGGAGGACCTCCTCTTTTCAATTCTCGTTTTTAAAGGACCTCCAGGGATGGGTGACTAGAAAATAGACTAAAAACCGGAACTAGTTTTACGTCTAGGTCGGCAATGATCTTTGCCAGTTTGCCTAGAGTGTAAAATGGGTTATTCATTGTATTCTGGCGTCCTATAAATCTCTCTGTCTCTGTTTCTCTGTTTCTCTCTCTCTCCCTCTCTCTTCCGAGAAAAAGTGCTCATCAATTTCCGGGCCTAATTTTCCCGGCTGGCCAATCGCATCCTCCTTGGGACAAGAGGATTTCCCAAAAGATCTTTGCTAGCTGACACTTCTCTCTCTCTCACAAATTGTTATGGCCCTCAGTTTGTGTCTCTTTTTGTGTATATCCGTGTGCCACCTTGGTAGTCCCTTTCTGGCGCCGCTGAGGGTAATTATTTTCTGCCCAAAAAAACTCCTTCTGGGGGCCCATCAGGGTGATGTAGTTCTTTTTTCTTTCGCTTGTGCATCAACTTTTTGACTCGATGCGCATGTTTTTGGATTTATGGCTGAGAGAGACACACACAGAGAGAGAGAGAGAGAGAGAGAGAGAGAGAGAAAGAGCGAGAGAGCGAGAGAGAGAGAATTTCCAGCCTTTTCGAGAAATTCATCACAGTTTAGGTCAAAACTTTGGCTCTCTCGGCACAAGTTGTATCCACCACTCCCCCCCCATCGGCCGCAGATTTCTTCATTGGGACCATCATCAAACAAATGGCTCTCCCTCTCTCTCCCTCTTTCAATTCCCAGCTTCTCCACCCCTTCCTTCCAAACGCAAAAAGACCCTCGGGGCATAAAATTGAGACACACACATTGCGTGTCGCGCCGTCCATTTTGTTCGTTTCTTAGGAGGGGGGATCGGAAGGAGGGGGACAGATCGTCGCTCCCCCAATATATACTGGGCCACTGGGCCCCAAGGCAATCTCTGCACCCCACAAGCGAATAGCCACCAAGGGCCCCAATCCCAATCTCGACACACCATAAGACAGCGGCCACGCATTTACCACAGGGCTCTTTTTCCTGGAAAACTCAGTAATTAACTAAAAAAGTGCATTTCATAGCATAGAATTAACCCGAATCGCTAATAGTGGGAGCAAGGGACGCCAAAAATTGGGAACCAGGTATCGTAACCGTATCACAAAACTTGCTGACCGTGGTCTCACGAATACCAGACGAGAATTTTTTGTGAATTAATTTTTGCTGATTTGCAAAGCTCTAGTTAGGAATTACGGGCTTCCTAGGTCCAAAGATAGCTCCGGGTCCAATCCGCAAAACAAGTGCTCCCGGCGGGGGTCGAACCCGCATCCTACGGCTTTCGAGTCCGATGCTCTACCATTGAGCTACCGGGGCACGCGGAATGCCTCTCTCAGGGCAGCTATCCATGCCAGCCCAACCCTCTCAAAATAGTATATAATCCGCAATGCGCTTTTAGCGTACTGTGGACATCGTTTTGCTTTATTTTCCCTACCGTATTTCGCGATTTTTGCATTTTCCACATTGCGGCGGCGAGCTTTAAACGAACCGAAAAGCCAAACAGTGGCTGGCCCTCTGTCTCTGTCTCTCCCTGTCCCTCTTTCTCTCTCTGTCTCTCTCTCTCGCTTCAAGTTTCGCCAATTCCCCATATGCAGATTCACCGGGTGAAATTTGAGCCCTTTTTCTCGATTCTAAACGATTTTTCAACTCTTCGGAAGATTTCCCGTTTTTGGCCGCATTCATTGATCCTATTTGTCTTTTTTTATTTTTCTGGTTTTCGTCGCTACCGTATTCCACTTCATTATTTCCAGAATCCGGGTGTTGGATGTCATTTGACTTTGACCTCACAGCCCCGTTCATCCCCGAATTCTCCACAAAAGATCAGCATGAGCATCGACATAAGGTTCGGCCCGTACAGGTGGGTACCATTTTAAAGGGACCGGCAACGCAGCGGAACGTTTTCTATGTACTATACCTAGGTGTTCGTCCCATCGAGTTCGGTGCCGGGCAAGTTTCGGCTGAATGAAGGGGCGTTGAATACGGTGCTCGGCCACTCGTCGATAGCCAATAAAAAGGTGAGCAGATTGAAGGGGGCATCCAGCAGAGTGCATTTGGGAATTCTTGGAATTCTTGCGCATTAATGTGTTTGCATAATTTGTAGTTTATAAAGATTCGAGAAATTTTTTCCGTTACAATTTTTGCCTTTGTTTATTAATTTCCATTTTTTTCTAGTTACAATTTCTAATTTAAGGGCCTGACACGTCATAAAAGTGCGCTTTTTAACGTTTAAAGGGACGTGGAAGTCAAATATTGCGGTTATGAAGGAATCTAGCTTGTTTAGAAGGTTTAGTACAATCCAACCCCTATTTTAATCCAAAAATTGTGATTCCGCACCTGCTCTCCTTCCACCTTTTCGCCGTCCCCTAGCACATCGTACGCCCCCCGCGTAATGTGTCGTAATGAGTGAATGCCATTCCCCCGTCCCCTTCCCTCCCTCCTAAAGGAATTGTCGAGTTCGATCCACGACCATCATGCCCTTTTCTGTGCCCTCCACCCTCTTACCCATCCTTCGGTCGGGTGCATTTCAGATTAGTCGACGTGAGACCATTCGCTAATGGGATCATTTGGCGAAAAATCGTAGGTTATGGCTTCGGCCCGGCTCAGTACAGTCGCGGAAAGTAACGTACAGCTGGGTGCTGTTGCGTACAGTAAAGAATTCCGGCGTACAGTCGCGGAGAGTAACGAACAGCGACCTACAGTTTCAGACAGTAACGTGCAGTTGCGTATAGTTGCGTACAGTACGTACAGAACCGTACAGTTGCGTACGGTATTGGACCGCTCCGCATTTAACTCAACGGTACGCTCTAAAACCCCCAAGTCTTGGCTTCCTATCGAAGGCTAAGCCTAAAACGAAACACTACCCGAGACGAACTCCATTTCCAAGCCAGAGTCAAAGCATCAGCTGAGGTATAAGCCTGACCCTAAGCGTATGACCAAAATGTAGCAAGTCTCAGTCAAGTTATTCCGGCGAGTAACCCAAGCCTAACAAGGGAAGGGCACGTGGACGAAGTGGAATTTCGCAAAACCCTCGCGGCTACCCCCGGGTAATCGACTATGGGGAACACGATACCGTTTTCCGATTTTCCTGCGGAGGCCTGTGGACAGACCTCCGCAGGCCTCCGCAGGAAATTCGGAAAACGGCATCGTGTTCCCCATAGTCGATTACCCGGGGGTAGCCGCGAGGGTTTTGCGAAATTCCACTTCGTCCACGTGCCCTTCCCTTGTAAGCGTATTGCCAAGCCAAGAATATCTTCAAAGTTAAAGGTAAGCTAAGCATAGGCCTAATCAAGTCCAAGCAAGCTAAGGCTTTAATTTTCGAATAAATTTTCGACCCCAGTAATGCGCCGGCTAAGGGGTGAACGTGAGGAGTGGGTGAAAACGGTGTTAGCTCTTGCTTGCCCCCTATCCGGCTCATGCCGACAACGGCAAAAAGCGGCAGCGGGTGCCGGAAAATCGGTATCGGAAATCGAGGGGAACGGGCGCCGCGCGCTACCATCGCCCGAAAACGCGGGGAAGAAGCCCCGGGTGAAAACCGAAAAGCTGCGAGTTTCTGCTGTGGCGGGCCGCAAAATTGGGGGTGCTGATCATTTTTGGAATGTCTGCTATTAGTGGGTGATTGGGTGGTAATGTTTTTACGCTTAGGTTTGGGCTTAGGTCCCAAGGGCGAATTTTTCTATCATTCGAATGATTCTAAAATGCTAATTATCGGTTAAAAGTTTTTTAGACAAAACTGGACCCTGTTTTAAAGGGCGGAATTGATTAAGAGGAAAATTCTATTTTTTGGGCTTGTTTTCACCCAGCTTTCAGAGGAGAGAGAGCGCGAGAGAAAAAGCGAGAGAGAGAGAGCTTGAAACCCATTCGATAATACTGTGTTATACTCATATTTGTAGTTGAACGGTTTTGCTCCAAGAATAATTTATTCCCCTGCATAAATAGGCAGGTTGGCCACTTGAGCGACTGCTTAACGGCGAGTTCCGTCCTCGAAGAAGACTCCTCCGTCGATGGCGCAGTACTTGGGGCAGATACCCTTCTCTCCGGCCTGTCCGGGCTGTCCGGGGTGTCCGGGGGTTCCGGGGTTTCCGTCCTGTCCGGGCTCTCCGTCGGGTCCGGGGGGTCCCTTCTGTCCGGGCTCGCCGGGCTTGCCATCGGCTCCATTCTGTCCGGGGGGTCCTTGGGGTCCCTGTGGGCCGGGGGGTCCTTGGGGTCCAGGTGGTCCGGGGACGACGGGCTCGGCCTTGGCGGGCTCTCCAGGCTGTCCAGGGGCTCCGGGGTTTCCGGGGGGTCCGGGAGGTCCTGAAATGGTCAGGATTAGGAGGGGGTTAGGGTCTTTAAGTGGTTCAAGGGGCGTAAATGGATTCTGCTAGTTGTTGAGGTGAAGCTAGGCTTTTAAAGGGGGTGTGACAGGTGGAGTTGGAGCTAAAGCTCTTGCTCAGGCTTGTTTTTGGCTACCGAAAAGGGAGTCTTTGCTGACTTTTAAGACGCTTTCAGATGACTCTCTCTCTCTCTCTCTATCTCTCGCTCTCCTAATTCAATCAAAACCGTACCAGGGGGTCCCTTGGGTCCAGGGGGTCCGGGGTTGGCGTCGGGTCCCTTCTCTCCGGGCTCTCCAGGCGATCCGTTGTCTCCGGGGGCTCCAGGGGGTCCGGGAGGACCGGGGGGTCCCTGTGGGCAGGGCTTGCATGGTGGCGGGGTGACCGGCTCGCAAGGCTGCTGTGGTGGGCGACCGGGGTTTCCGGGGAGTCCGGGGGCTCCGGGCTGAAAAAGGTTGGATTCGACGGGTTTTGAAGCAAACGCTAAGCCTAAGCCTGCTCCCAAGCCCAAACCACTCACCTTTCCGGGCTTTCCGGGCTTTCCGGGGGCTCCCTGAGGTCCGGCGGGTCCGGGCAAGCAGCATCCAGAGCACTGGTCATCGTGTCCGGCCTGACGGGCCGTCCTGTTTCCGTGGACGGGCATCTCCTTGAGGCTGTAGACGCTGTTCCAGACGTCCTTGGCGGACCCCTTGCACTGGTTCAGCTCCATGTGCATCTGGCGGCGGACGTGGTGCACGTAGTTGTACACCTGGAAGCAAATGGGTTAGAATCATAATCCACTGAATTTTAATGAGTTTAAAAAGGCGTAATTTCCACAGTAACTCTTTCTACGGTAATTTATAGGCGTAGTTTTTTAGTTGTATGCTAATTGAAAATGAGTTTTTGTCATTTTTGAGGGTTTTTGAGGCGTTTTAGAAACGCTATAGGACCGCAGAAATTTTTAAAAGATACAAAATCACTACCGTAACCCTAAAATAACCCCCAAAATCCTCCAAAAAAACCAACCATCGGCAAAGTGATGCAGACGGAGAGGACGGCGACAGCCGAGAAGGTGACGGCCGCATAGCCGACGAAGCGGTAAGCCTTGATTTTCGAGTCGATCTCCATGACTAGGAGTGCCTGTCTATCCACCGTTGCCCGGCCCTTAAATACCCCCCTGACTCCGCCCCCATCACCCTAAAAGCTGCCCCCCCGGAGGGCATAGCCCGCCCGCGGGGGCGAACTCGAGAAAAACGAACCCGGCCGCGCTCGCTCCGAATGCCCGCCGGCAAAAACGTGCGCGGCGCCCGTGGGGGCAGATTTGAGTCGAACTGTCTCTGTCGGTACGTCTGTTTGTCCGTCTCTCTGGCGCTCTGTCGCTCTCTCTCTCACGCTCTCAGTGGCTCGATCCCTCTCTCGCTTTCTCTCGCGCTCTCTCTCTCTTCTCTCGCTCTCACTCTCGTCCTCTTTCTCGCTCGCTCCCTCTGTGTCTGCCTCTCTCGCGCTCTTTCTCTCTCTCTCTCTGTCTTTCTCTCGCTCTCGCTCGCTCTCTATCTCTCTGTCTGTCTCTCTCGCCCTTCCCTCGCGCTCTCTCTCCGGCTCTCCATCTCTCTATCTCTCATTGTCTCGCTCTCTCGCTTCCGCTCTCCTTCTCATGCTCTCTCACTCCCTGTCGCACTCTCTCGCCCTCGCTCGCTCTCTTTCTCTTTCTCTCTCTCTCTCTCTCTCTCTCTCCCCTCTATCAACCACTTCTTCAAGCAGTCCTAACCCCCATCTCTACCGTCTCCTCCTCCTCTCCTCTCTCCCTTCCCCTCACTCCTCTGAACAGGATCCCGAATTTTGGAGCGAACCAGCGCTACGCACACAAAAAGTGGCGCGCCATCCGCACCATCGTGGAACCCCCCGAATCAGCGGTCAGATGATGCGCAAATCGATTTGAGGATTGGCGGGTGAAAGTCGGCAAGAAGTTCCTTGGAAACTATGCAACAAGCTTGACGAGCTTATTAGTACGAACTAAATCCATTACGCAATGAAATGGTGGTCGGGCGTGTCGCGTGTTGAGTTTTCCTTGAGTACAAAGAATCTATGTTGTTTTAAACAACCCATTAATGCATAGACTTTCTGGAAAATTAGCGAAGTCAAGTCGAGTCGACGTCAAAGTACGATGATTCCTCTTGACAACGTCGAAGCTCTGATGGCTTTTTGCCAGAATCGGTTCCGATTCACGCGGTTTTTCTGGCAATGCACCCGGTGGCAGTGAATCTTGTGCCCTTTTTGTCATCACCGAGAAATTTATCGATGAGTCGAGGTGCGTGCTGGTAGGGCGGAAGAGTGACGACGTGCTGCAAGTCAGATGAACTCTGTTGGATTGCCTAAGCCTAAGCCTAAGCCTAAGCCTAAGCATACCCAAGCCTAAGCCTAAGCCTGAGCCTGAGCCTAAGCCGGCCCTAAGCACAGGCCTAAGCCTAAGCCTAAGCCTAAGCCTAAGCTTAAGTCTAAGCCTAAGCCTAAGCCTAAGCCCAAGGATAAGCCTAAGCCTACGCCTAAGCCTGAGCCTAAGCCGGCCCTAAGCACAGGCCTAAGCCTCAAGCCTAAGCCTAAGCCTAAGCCTAAGTCTAAGCTTAAGTCTAAGCCTGGCCTAAGCCTAAGCCCAAGGATAAGCCTAAGCCTAAGCCTAAGCCTGAGCCTAAGCCGGCCCTAAGCACAGGCCTAAGCCTAAGCCTAAGCCTAAGCCTAAGCCTAAGTCTAAGCTTAAGTCTAAGCCTAAGCCTAAGCCTAAGCCCAAGGATAAGCCTAAGCCTAAGCCTAAGCCTGAGCCTAAGCCGGCCCTAAGCACAGGCCTAAGGATAAGCCCAAGCCTAAGCCAAAGCGAAGCCTAAATTAAGCCTAGGCACAAACGGGACAAATGTTAGGATGGTCGCCCTTTGATCACCTCAAATGATCTCTGCTCGCCTGCCTGAATTTTGCGGCATCCCAAAAGCCATAACAACAATTTCAGGTGGTCATCATCTCAGTTGCCGGCGCATTCCGGAAGGGGAAAAGCTTCCTGCTCAACTTTTTCCTCGAATACCTCTACGCGCTGCAAAGGGCGCAACAAGTAAGGCAACGGAATTGCTTTTAAAGCGGCCGGCAAGGCAAAATCCGAGCTAATTTTTGTATTATGCTCGAGTTGATGCTCCTTCAAAAATTGAGCTTTAGCAAGAAGCGCCGCTGGAATGGCTAGGGGACGACTGCCAGCTTCATGGATTCCACTGGAGGGCGGGCACGAAACGGTACGTTTCTGCATAGTACAGAATCGGATTCCTAAACTAAAACTTCTAACCTAATCTAAGCCTAAGCAAGCCTAAGTTAGGCCTAAGCTGAGCCTAAGCCTAAGCCCAAGCTAAGCCTAAGTTAAGCCTAAGCTAAACGTAAGCTAAGCCTAAGCTAGCTAAGCCAACGAAGCCAAGCCTAAAACCCCACTTTTCAGGGACACAGCCGGTATCTGGATGTGGGGCGAGCCGATCATGATCGAAGGAGGAACGGGCGAGAATTATGCCGTCGTACTGGTCAGTCCACTTCGATACTCCCTCCAATTATCGGGTTACGGTAGATGGACACGCAGGGCACATTCGATAATGCATCCACGTACCTCCAATGCACTACCATATTCGCGTTGTCGACAATCGTTAGCTCGGTGCAAATCTACAACGTGGTCGACAATATTCAGGTGGGAATTCGGGTAATGAGGGGAGCTGGCTAGCAGGGATTTTTGGGGAGTTTGGAGTAGGGTTGGTTTGAAAGACTATAAGGTGATCAGGTCGATTTCATTTTTGGATAGTTTTTGGAGGATTTTCCGGGCTTATCGTAAATTTGGTCAGGAAAACGCCAAAATCCCGACATGCCAAAATACCGACAGTCAAATTCCCGACAGCCAAAGAAGGTGTTTAAACGGAAGCAAACCCGACTCAAGAAAATGTCGGGATTTCTGTCCGCATTTTCCGCTTGTCGGGATTTTGGCTGTCGGCATCTTCCGCTCGCCGAAATTTTTGGTTTCGGGATTTTCTGTTTGTCGGCATTTTTACTGTCGAGGATCTGGCTATCTGGACTATGGCCGGAATTGCTTTCAACATTTTGAAATTTCGACAATCTGGAATTTCGGAATTTAACAAATGCAAGATTATGACATTTCAGCATATGTATTCCGGCTTTCCGAATTTCGAACTTTCAATAGAAAATCGGCGTAGCTAAGCAAGGGCCCTTTTTGCAGGAAGACGCACTGCAGCACTTGTCACTATTCGTGGAATACGGTAGGCTGGCCCTGCGGGACGCTCAACAATTCGGGAGCCCATTTCAGGTAAAGTTTAAATTTTCCACATACTTTTCTACGCTTCCGTAACCCTATACCCAACGTCATTTGTAGTCCCTCGTATTCTGCGTGCGCGACTTCAAGGCGCCCGAGGATTTCCCCTACGGCAAGGAGGGCGGTGTGCAATTTTTGGAGCAGGTTTTGAAGGTTGGTGCCTGTCACACTGCCTGAAAACAAGGAATAGTCTCAAAAACGACATTTAGGTAGAAGAGGGCCAGGCGGAGGAGTTGAGAACGGTGCGCGAGCAGCTCGACTCGTGCTTCGAAAAGATCCAGTGCTTCTTGCTACCACATCCAGGCTATCGGGTGGCTGAGAGAGGGTCTTTCCGCGGCCACGTTAAAGGTACTTTGGAGAAGGGTACTGTAGAACAAGAAATTTGAAGATTTACGCCCAATATTTCGGGAGGAAATTCGAAAAATGGTTGTCGCATTGTTGGAGCCACATGTATTGAAGCCAAAGGTGAGAAAATCGAACTTCAATGGCCCTTTAAAATCGATATCTAAGAAAATTTTGATACCGTAATTTACCATCTATTACTGTAACTTTTCCATTTTTGCGCTCATTTCGGTTTGCAGGTGATCAACGGCAAGCCGGTGACGTGCCGAAAAATGATGCAATTTTTTAAGGTTCGTCTCCTCTCTCTCTTGCTCACCCCTCTCTCTCCCTCACTCTCTCTCGCTCTCGCTCTCTCTCTTTCTCTCCCTCTCTAATCCTCCCTTTCTATCGATCAGTTAGCTACAGTATTCACGGATTTTCTAGGCTTACGCCGCCACATTTGATGGCGGAACGCTTCCGGAACCTCGCAGCATTCTGGATGCGAACGCTCGTCTGCTGCTGATGGACGCGTGTCACGAGGCCAAACTGCAGTACTCGCGCGGAATGGATCGGGTTCGTCAAATCCCCAATTTTGACGACAATTTATTCTGTAAAATTAGGCCCGAATTTGGCCACGTCTAGCCCAAGTTAGGGCCCGTTTGGTCCGAATTAAAGCCCGAACGTCCGGCCGGCGGCCCGGGGTTAGCTACAGACCAGAAATTGCTCATTTTAGTCGACGTGCGGCCCACGAATGATGCCGGAAAAGCGGCTTCTCGAGCAACATATCAAGCACGGCATCACGGCGCTGAACATCTTCGACAAGTGCCCGAAGATTGGGTCATCGGAAGTGAGGTCGGCGATGCAGTGTCGGCTCCAGGAGGATATTAATGTCAGTTTTGGGCGTAACCAAGGAGCGTAGCGGATTTTTTGCTATTTTTATTTATTCTAGTGAGCGTCGTTCCGCTAAACCCCTTCAGCTCAATTTCAGGCGGAGCTCGAGCGCTACAAGCGGCTGAACGAAGCGAAACGGGTGACGGGCTGCGTCTCGGCGATGACGGCCTGTGGTGATAGCCCATTACTTGGAGTCGGGCTGGGTGGAGCCGCTTCTGGTGAGCAAGACTTGGAGTACGGTAACTTGGTCCTCGTTTAGGCGCCGTCGCCGCTACGGTAATGACGATGCAGGCGGGGCTCGTTTCGGCTGGGATCGTGGCGATACCGGTGGCGTTGGCGACGCTTTTTGTGATATGGGTAAGATTGGTTAGTTTGAAAATGTCGAAAGCGAGCGTGTCGGCATTTTTTGCAGCTCTTTGCACTTGCGAAAAAATTAGAAATATGAAATTTCGACATTTCGAAATGTCGAAATTTGGAATTTCGACACCCTGAATTTTCTGAATTTATGAAACAAGCACATTTTTCTAGGTGTACGTCTACACGAAGCCCTACGTCGAGCAGTGCTTCAGCAAACAGGAAAAGGACGAGCTGGAGATGAAGGAATTTTAATTGTTTTACGCTTTCTAAAGTTTTTTCCTAAATTCAGGGTCCTCTCTGCCAATTTGCATATCATGTTCTCAGGTTTTCCAGCTGAAACAAAAGATGTTTATAGAAATATCGAAAAGCCAGGGTGTTTAGGTTTCTCTCTCGCTCTCTCTCGCTCCCTCTCTCTCTCTGTCGTTCTCTAACCTGTGATCGGTGCTGTATACTGTTTGTTTTTCGAGCTTCTCCCCCTTTCCCCCCACCAATAATCACTTATCCCCCTCCCCAGCCATATCATATATTCCCCCCTCTTCCCCCGTGCCTTCTTCCCCTCTATTTTTTTTGTATGCAATGATGCCATTCAGAAAAAAGTGATATCAAGAAGATAAATGTTTATTTGGTATTTACATAACCCGTGCTTCGATTAATTATTGCCCTTTATAGGTGGAATATCCGTAGGGGGCCAGCGTGATCGGCACGTGAAAATGGCGGGTGGCGTCAGCGATTCGGAACATTACCTGAAAGGAGGAAATACCATCTCTCTCTTTTTCTCTCTCGCTCTCTCTCTACGCATCTCTCGCTCTCTCTCGCTCGCTCTCTCTATCTCTCTCTCTCTATCTCTCTCTCTCTCGCTCTTTTGATCTCTCTATCTCTCTCGCTCTCTCCTGCTCTTTCTATCTCTCACTCTCTCTCTCTCGCTCTCTCTCTCTCTCACCTCAACATGTGGATAGAAACAATCGATCCCATCCCGTTCATAGTATTCCGCCGTATCAAATCGCAGCTTATACGTAGTATCATTCTTCAGCTGAACCTCCTCAGCGTCGAGCACCAACGCTGACGCGATCCGCCCGTTCTCGTCGGTCTTACTGGAATTCCGCAAGAATACAATTCCCAAAAACACCACACCTCCTCCCGACCAGCGTCCATTCTTTATCGTCCAAGCGAAACGTTTCCACATTACATCCGGCGCCGGGTTTTCCCTAAAAACAATTTATTTTGACACTAGCGGTGCCTGAGTTTTGGATAAGTTTTTACGTTAATTTATAGCCCCACAAATAACAAGCATTATTTTTAAAAAAATACCGAAAATTTTGTCTTTTTGATCCCATAAAAGAAAAAAAAATTTTTGGCTCAACGGCCGAAGCTGAAGTCTAAGCCCAAGCCTAAGCCTAAGCCCAAGTTTAAAGGCCTCTGGAAAGATGGGATTGGTCAAAAAGCAAGAAGAGGTGCACCGGCCGGGGGTCGAACCAGGGATGGCCCGCTCCGCAGTCCAACGCGCTACCCCCACACCAAAGGGGTCGAGTGGGTGGGGGCGGCGGAGGGGCCCCAAGTACCCTAGGGACGAACTGGTGCAAGTTACTGGGCAACAATTCAAAAAAAGCTATTTAAAAATAATAATAACGAAAAAACCTACGGAAAAGCTTGCTAAGGGCAAGGAAAGTACTCCCTGAATTTCCTGAAGTGTTTTATACCCTTTCCGACGATTTTTGAACTAAAAAAGCGACCCAAAAACCTCTTTCCGCTCAGAACATGGCTGTCTTCTATCCAATCAGCCTCAAATTTTTATCACCGATGGGGATGGCTAAAAACTATTTTTATGGAAGTTTCCAGCCAAAAATATAGTCAATCAAAAAAGTTATGGCTATTAACCCGTTTTCTGGAAATCCAGTCGGGGGTTTTGGGGCCCTTACGCGATGGAAAGCGTGCATGGTATCGCCCCGTCGGTCCCTCACCCCTGGGGACGCCCGGCCATCTTTCCAAGGGTCTTTAAGCCTAATCCGAAGTCTAACCTAACCCTACCGACAAGCACAATAAGCCCAAGCCAACCTGTGAAATATCCAGGACGTGCGTCGATAGTCCGGATGCGGAGTCGGCCGCCATTACGGTATTGGCAAAAAGTGAGAGGGCAGCGAAAATTAGGTGCATTTTAGAAAGGTTGCTTTGAAATGGAAAAACTAACTGAAAATGGCTGGGGGAAAGGGAGATTTTGTTCGGCTCAAAAAGGGCTGCTGTTGTTTGTTTTCGCCTTTTTGGCGACAATTAGAGAGAGGGAGAGACACAGGGAGAGAGAGAGAGAGAGAGAGAGAGGAGAGAGAGAGAGAGCGCTATAAACACTCATCCCATCACATCAATACCCCAGTTCTCGCCAGGCGCTATTGATAAGAATGTGTACACAGTAGCCGCACGTAATTTGGATAGTCTGTAGCGTCAGAATTCGACAACAAGAAGGTCATCTGATGGCTTTTAATCGATTTTAAAGGATTTCGAAAGTCCAGGAAATTTGTATTCTTTGTGTTTTTTTTTTGTTTTAATGCACACAGGTACGATTAAATGTTTATTACATTATACAAAGACCAAAAATTAATAGCCGTTTTGTCTAGATACCCGATAGAGATCATGCGAAGAGAGGAAGAAAGAGAGAAAGAGAGAGACAACCCTACTGCTTTTTCACCTTCACTATCCTTGGCGTAAATGAAGCCAAGGCAGGCCCTAGGATACGGTAGAGCAGGTACGGGATTACGGTAACAAAAATCAAGCAAGAAATTGAGAGACAAGCGATGAAGTCGAGATTACTGTGCACGATTCCCGACATTCGAGACGACGGCAGGTTGATGTAGTCGGAAAGGCCCTGGAATTGTCATTTTTGAGGTTTTTTGGAAAAATCGGGATTAAATTTCAGGTGTTCAAGTCCAAAATGTTTAAATAATCTCTGATATGCACCAGAAAACCAGACACCAAGAAAAGTGAGAGAGGGAGAGAAAGAGCTAAAGAGAGACAACGAGATAGATAGAGAGGGAACGAGAGAGAGAGATAGAGAGTGAGAGAGGGAGAGAGAGAGAGAGAGAGGGAGAGAGAGAGAGAGAGAGAGAGAGAGAGAGAGAGAGAAGGACAACGGGGGAGAGAGACAACGAGAGAGACAACGAGAGAGAGACAACGAGAGAGACAACGAGAGAGAGAGCGAGAGAAAGATATTCCGATCCGCAACTTCCAAAGTAACTCTGCTAGCTCCCCAGTTAAAGGACCACCAAAGGCAACAAACCTGAAACGTTGCCGCATACTCAACCCACTGCACAAATAGCTCCTCCGGCTCCTGCGGTTTTGATTTGAGCATCTTCGCCAGGGTGTGGCACTTTTTCGTCATTCTAAAAAAGATATCTTAGATGTCGCACCCCAGCTACGGTACCCATGGTTCCCCAACACTTTCTGCAGGGCGCGCACCATTCGCTTCTCGGTCACCTCGGACTTTCGGATGAGAACCGAGATTCCGCGAGATTCTGCGTTCATGGAGTTCCAGATCTGTAAATGGGATAGTGAGATTGGAGAGAGAGTGAACGAGAGAGAGGGAAAGTGAGAGCGAGCGCGAGAGAGATAATCGATTTATGACTAAAAAAGCCATACCTGATCAGCAAAAATTGGGATCGAAATCGTGGGCACGCCGGCGTATGAGGCCTCCAAGTACGAGTTGAGGCCCATATGCGAGATGAAGGCTACGGTACGAGGGTGATCTATAAAGGGGCGGCTGTCAGGAGGAATGTCTTGTCGTCTTTATCTCTCTCTCACTCTCCCTCTCTCTCTATCTAGCTCTCTCGCTCTCTCTCTCTCACCTAGCATATCATTCTGGGGCAACCATTTCACCGGAAAAACATTTGTAACGTTCCGGAATAACCATTCCATCTCATCAGCCGATCCGTCGAATTTCCAGATGAAATTGTATTCCGGAAATTCGGCAAACGCCCGAACCAATCCAATTTTGATTTCACGCGGGATGCGGGTGGTTAGAATCTACAAAAGTAATAAGATACCTAGCACAACTCGATACATGGCTTAAGACTTGTGATATCAAACTCAAAATTTTAAAAATCGTTCTTAAAATAATGCTGAAAGGTGCAGATCACCAACCTGCGTGCCGAACGAAAAAATGACATTTCCGGTGCCGGCCTTCCCCAGGAGGGCCTCCATTTCAGGGTCCAATTTCTGCGGCTCTCTCCTATTTATGCCGCCAATGTATTTGACTTTGTGGCTTATCGGGCGACCCTGTTCGAGCAGTTCATTCGAATTCACGAACGTCACGGCCATGTCCCTAAAATATTGGTCTCAAAATGGGGGGAGAATGAGGCAGCTTGATCGAGTGAGAGGCAGGAATAAGCGAGAGAGCAAGGTAAGGAGAGAGGGCGAGAAGGTGAGAGGGAGAGAGGCAGAGTCGGCGGGAGACGGAGAGACCTACTTGGCCAAATCTGCTGTACTCGGAAAAGACGAGCCATAGTGTTTTCTCACGACGGCGTCCTGAACAGAATTTTGGTTTTAAAGGGACCGTGAAGGCAAGAATCTATTGAATCCCATCCGGAACTTACCGTTCTTCTAATAAAGCGCTGATGCTCGATGAGCTCGTATTTCAAGGCGAACAGCACATTTTCAGTCCGTTCCACGAAATTGAGGTTCAGGGAAGTGGAGACGGATTGGAGAATGTCTGAAAAATAGAAATGAGAGAGAGGGAGAGAGAGAGACCTACCAGTCACGTAGCTAGGGAGGCTTGGAAGCCCGATGGCGTAGCTTTGAAGCGGAAATAGCGGTGTTGGGCTGTAGGAGGCGACATTTTTGATACCTAAATTTGTAGATCAAATTAGCTCCTCTCTCTTTCTCTCTCTCTCGCTCTCTCTCTCACACTAACCATTATGATGAAACATGGCCAGCGGACAGTAATCGTAGGCTGACATTAGTGCGAGATCGTACTTGTCATCGCGTAGCATCTCGGAAAGGCGGACGTCGCTGAGGAATACTGAAAATAAACGCCCTGAATTTTTACAAAGTTTTTGGTGAATATTTACAAAATTGAGCGTAAAAACCATCTAAAATCTAATTAAAAACCAGCCAAATAAAAAATCTGCCTATTATCCAAAACCTACAATCGCACATCTCAATCGTCACATCCTCAAACAAATCCATCAATCTCGGCTCGAGAAATCCGGGTCTTTTGTCGACGAATGGGTCCTGGAAGGTAGAATTTTCTGGGGTTCAGCAGCTCGGCTTACCGTAAGATGCGTGGACGCCACCCAGGGGCTGTTCTCCTCGAATCCTACAGTAATCTGACGGCGAGCCGAAGAGGTGCCGTACGCCTTCGCGTTGGTGTTCATGCGCCCGACGATCATGTCCTGAAAGAATGATAACTTGTTTCGGGGACCTCGTAGTTCCATGTCAATTAGCAGAAATCGGTCCTGCTCACCCTTACAGCAACGCGCTTTCTTCCCCCTTTTACAAAGCGTAAGCTGTTGTCTTTTGGTCATTTAAATGTTTTTTATAGGGCAATGGGTTGACAAAATCGATCCCTTGTCTGCTTAGTCCCTTTAAAAGCCCTCACCACGTTATGCCCACGTCTTGTCAGCGATTCGACGAGCGAATTGGCAAAGTCGAGATGGCTGGGACCGACCACTTGTGAATACAGTATGATATTCAGCGCATTGGCAAAACATAGTAACGTCGATAGGAAAAGTACCGTACTCCGCATTTGGCTCTAAAAATGTAATTTACGGCATAAAGCGAGAGAGAGGGGAGAGAGAAAGAGAGAGAGAGAGAGAGAGAGAGACAGAGAGAGCGACAGAGAAAGGAGGAGAGAGAGAGAGCGAGGGAGTGAGTGAGACAGAGAGAGAGCGAGAGAGCGATGAGAGCATGAGAACGAGAGAGTGAGCGGGAGAGTGAGAAAGATAGAGCAGAGAGCGAGAAGATGAGAGAGCGAGAGAGTGAGAGCGTGAAGGAGATAGAAATAAAGTAAGCGAGCGGGAGTGGCAGTGTGAGGTGGAGTAAGCCTTATTAACAACAGTTAGGTCATGACCGTAGTCATGGCAGATGTTTTGCCAAGCCTTCACAATGCCTTTAAGATACAGGAATTTTTAAAAAACGAAAGTCGTGACCACCCGTACAATCGGAAAGACTAGGAGTCGTAGCAGGATGTTTGGTGGCATATCTGTTCCGTCTAGCCACCCCCCCCCCCGCCCCCTGGGGGGTCAGTGTTTTTCGGGTCGGCATTAAACATATGAAGGAAAGCCGAAACGGGAGGCGGCTTCTGAGCTGATAACGAGAAGGGGGAAGCGACATCAAACCTCAGGTTTTGAGGGTTCTCTGATGTATGGTAGTCTGTGGTTAGTACCTTTGATGTATCAATGGTATTAATGGACGAAAGAACGATAAATTTGTAGGATTTGAATCGAAGTATAAACTTACGCCTCAGCCTAAGTCTAAGTCTAAGCCTAAGCTTAAGCCTAAGCCTAAGCCTAAGCCTAATCCTAAGCTTAGACTACGCCTCAGCCCAAACTTCAGCCCAAAATCTACTCAAAAACCAAGCAACGTGCCTGATTTTCGCCCTAGAATTTGCATAATTACATAAAAATAAATTTACAGGCTCTCCCGCTTCCTGATGTACCGTAAAACCCCGTCATTCCGTGAAGATGCTCCCCTTCTGGTTGTTGTCCGTCTTGGCGGCGGTGACATCGGGATTGGGGAATGACTCGGAAATGTGGGCCTTCTCCCCTCGTTTTGATAAAGTTTAGACTGGGCCCCAACGATTTCGTGGAGACGCACCCGGACTGTGCGATCAAGATCGACCGCTGGGAGAGGTCGGTCTAGCGGAATTTTTTTTTGGATCCGGCCATTTCCAGTAGCGCTGAATTGACTGGAAATGGTACCGTGGTCGGCCTCGTCGCGCCACTCATCGATATATGGCTCGGATGCGTATATAAGGCCCAAGGTTGGGATCTGTAGCTTTTAAAGGGATTGGCAGGGCCTGGCCATGGGTTCATTGGCTGACTTGTTTCTATAGCTCTCTCTCACTCTCTCTCTCTCTCTCTCTCTCTCTCTCTCTCTCTCTCTCTCTGTTGTTTTCTGTTATTGGTTTCGTGTCGAAAAGCCAAATTTTTTAGGTCCTGAAAATCTCAACTTTTCTAATTTTGGCATTGTTCTGATAGCAGGGGGCTTTTATTTACAAAACCAGAAATTTGTTTAAGATGTTAAAAATGGTTTGGTGCTTTCCTTTTATCGGGGAAGCGAAATTAATTTTTATAGTTCCTAAAAATTTGTAAGAACGTAATAATAAGCATCTTAAGTGTCTTAACAGTGTTTTTTGGTAAAAATTACTTAAATCTAAAGTGGAAAAATGTTTTTTAAACTTCAAAAATTGCAGAATTTGCCAGTCTGGTCAAAACAATGATATTTTTGTATTTTTAGCAAAAATTTGTAAGGTTTTTGGGTTTAGGAATAGCAAAAAAAAACGTTTATAAACACTATTTATAGTGGCAAAAACTAGAATTAAGAAAATTGGTTTTCCCTGTTTTTTTTTGCAGATTGCTCAGTGGCGTTCTGCCACTATAAGGGCCTGTGTCGAGTGATGAATGCATATTCACCCGCCGAAATGGTAGACCATCCGGATTGGCATACTGTAACCAGGGCATCATTTAGTATGAGTGCGTGTGCGATCCGTGGTATTACGGGCTGAGATGCGAGCATGGTAGGTATCAGATGGAGCAGCAGAATCTTAGACGCTTTTTGGTAAATATTTGCTATCGAATATTTGGCCGTAAAACTCAAAAACAAGTGGCATGCTTGATAAAATTGACATTTTGGAGATTGTACATTATCGGGGGGCTAAGTAACCCTTTTCTCACGTCTTTTCAGAATACACAATGACGGCGTGGGCGAGTGTGACCGGTTGGGCGTGCACGCTGCTCACCGTGGCCGCCGTCGCCGGCAACGTGTTGCTGAACCGGCGACAGAGAAAAGCCGCCAAGGCCAAGGCCGCCGCAAGGAGCGAGGGCTCGGCTCCGGCCCCCGCCGCTCCAGAAGCCCCTGTTGTGCCCGGGGCTCCGGAGCCCACTGTCCCAGCTACTCCGGAAGCTGCTGCTCCATCGTCGCCGGAGGCTGCTGCCCCTACTGCTGCTCCTGCTACTCCTGCTGCTCCAGCTACTCCGGCGCCTCCAGCTACCCCTGCCACTCCTGCTCCTCCAGCTGCTCCAACTGCCCAGGACGCGCCGCCGGTCCCTGATCATCGACCGCCTGTTCCTGCGCATGGTGGGAAGCTCGCTAAATGATAGTGACTAAGCCTAACGCTAAGCCGAAGCTTGAGCCTGAGCGCGAGCGTAAGTCTAAGCCTGAGCCTAAGCCGCAGCATCAGCATGTGCGTAAGCCTAAAGTAAGCATAATTAAGCCTAAGCCAAGCCACCTTACAAGCTAATTTTTAATGCTTTTTCGAAGCACTGTCTATTTCAGGTAGCCCGGCACTGCGCCAACCATCCAAGTCGGCTCCGAAATAAAATCACATGTTTGCCCTCCCTCAATTCTGTTTCTCCTCTCTATATTTCTTGTGCGTGTCTCTCTCTCAGCATAAATACTTTATTCTACGAGATATACGAATTTTTCTAACGACAAACTACACCAAGGATACGGCAGAAAAATCGACGCCAGAATACTTTAAAAAATTACATTCAAAATGCGCAATGAGACCCGTGGCTGAGAATTCGGAGCAAAATGTCGGGAGGCGGGAAAAAGCGCAAAAAGGGCGTCGAATTCCGAGATGTTACGGTAGGGTACGGTAGCGTAACGTCACGTACGGTACCGTACGTCGCAGATTAGAATTCAAAATTCTGCCAAAGGGGATTTCCTATGAGATTTGCATAATTTTGCAAGCTACGCCTTTAGCTAAATTTTTATTTGG